TATCCTTAGGTGGATAGCATCATTTATCTTTCCCCTCACACATAGACTCAAATTCACAGCACCTCTTAGAAGCTAACTACAAAATGACATTTCAGTATTAAAAGAAGCTCCCTGATTCCCCATCTGTCCTCACAAAAGTGATCAGGTACGAAAAAAAAATAAAAAAAGAAACATGATATTATCAATATGCCTGAGTTCTGGAGCACTATCGTGCTGATCTGATCAAGGTGTAGGTTTCTACCTTAAGCTTGCTTGGCAGGAAATGTTTGATTTCTTTCTGCTTAGTGCAGCCATTTTACCTAGTGAGTGGCAGTATTAAATAACAAAGTAGGAACACAGGGCCCACTAGTTTAGGCCTTAGCTTCTGTAACAGATCTCAGAGGTGAGATATAAGGAGAGACTTTTTAAGTTCATTTACTCATAGATGAAAAATTTTATTGCTATGTTTTAAATGAACAATCAAATCACTTAGGTATGAGGCATTAGCTCTAAAATTGTCCACTTCTTTTAATCTAATTCTATGTCTCACTGGAAAATGTCAAATCTTAACATTTTATTTATCGAGAACAGTGGTCAGGAACTGAATAAACTACAGTTATCACTACATGAAGGTTTGAGGTTCATCTACATCAAAGTGAATGCCTTACTACTAATGTAATATGACAATGTTGCTTTGCCCAAGTGACCACTGACAGTTAAGAACTGTTACTGCCCCAAAGTAATACCTCTATCATAGAATAATATTTCTTATTTATGAGTTAATTTTTAAAAAAGATTTATATAAGTTTATGCCACTATTAGCTCCTAACTTCTTCTGTCTGATAATGCCTATAAATTAGGATACTATATTAATTCTGTCCTTGAGATGTGGTTTTATAAATTTTTAAGGATAAATTAATAGAGCCTTTGAGCATTATTACTAGTGTGGTAAGCAATGGCTAAGATGAACTGAGGAATCCTCTCCCATTATAGCTGATCCAACAAAGGCTATCCACAGGTGGCTCAGTGGTAAAAGAACCCACCTGCCAATGCAGGAGACTCCAGAGGGTTCGATCCGAGTTGGGAAGATTCCCTGGAGTAGGAGATGGCAACTCCCTCTAGTATTCTTGCCTGGAAAATTCCACAGACAGAGGAGCCCAGCAGGCTACAGTCCACGGGGTGGCAAAGAGTCGGACCCGACTGAGCTTGCACACACACAGTCCCAAAAAAGGCTACTGTTTCTTTAAATACAAGAACCTCCAATTCTACCCTAAATTAGAGGAACTCATTCAGGTTTATTCTGTGTGACAAACTGTAATTCCTTACAAATTCTCTTGAGTTTTGATATTGGGGACATTTTATTTTCCAATAAGGAGACAGGATTATAAGAGAATTAAAATCAATGGGCAGGCTATTTAAAGATTTCTCTGTAAATTTTCTTAAGTTATTACAGCCAATTCTAGATTACCTGCATTCAACAGTCTATTAGTCATAATAATTCTAAAGCACTATTAGACAATAATACTAAGTTTTAATATTGTAACTAAAATGGTGAACTACAGTTTACTTTTTACTTTGAATGCAACTTAATGTTTAAAATAAGTTATCTAAAAAAAAATCAGAGTCTCATATATTTATTTTTGGAACCATTAAAATTATATTATAAATGTTATTATATCTTTCTCATACTCATTCAATCAACAAATATTTATTTAACATCTACAAAAAATAACATGCTTAATTTGGTAGATTTTCCTCATCTCTAGTATATACATGTCTAGAAAACTTAATTTTGTATATGGCTTTCATAAACAGTGTGGCTCAGCTGGTAAAGAATCTGCCTGCAATGTGGGAGACCTGGGTTTGATCCCTGGGTTGGGAAGACCCACTGGAGAAATCCATGGACTATACAGTCCATGGGTCGCAAAGAGTCAGACACAACCGAGTGAGTTATCTAAGATAAGTAAATAACTGGCTATTTAAAGTATTGTTTCATTTCAATGTATGACAAAAACCACTGCAATGATGTAAAGTAATTAGCCTCCAACTAATAAAAATAAATGGAAAAAAAAGAAAAAAAAATAAAGTATTGGGTTGGCAGTAAAAATAAATAAATAAATAAATAAATAAAGTATTGGGTTGGCCAGAAAGTTTGTCCAGGTTTTTCTGTAATGTGGAAAAGTCTGAATGAACATTTTGGCTAACCGAATATGTTATAAATAAAACAGAGAGCCAGCAAAGACCTACTGTACAGCACAGGGAACTCTACTCAACACTCTGTAATCTAACCTAATGGGAAGAACCTAAATGGGCAAAGAATTTGAAAAAGAAGAGATACATGTATATGTATACCTTTGAATCACTTTGCTGTACATCTGAAAGTAACATATTGCAAATCAACTATACTCCAATATGAAATAAAAATTTAAAAAACAGTTAACCAGAAAAGGAGAAGGCAATAGCACTCCACTCCAGTCCTCTTGCCTGGAAAATCCCATGGACAGAGGAGCCTGGTGGGCTGCAGTCCATGGGGTCGCGAAGAGTCGGTCACGACTGAGTGACTGCACTTTCACTTTTCACTTTCCTGCATTGGAGAAGGAAACGGCAACCCACTCCAGTGTTCTTGCCTGGAGAATCCCAGGGACGGCGGAGCCTGGTGGGCTGCTGTCTATGGGTTCGCACAGAGTCGGACACAACTGAATCAACTTAGCAGCAACCAGAGAAAAAAGTATATTGTAGAGTAGGTATAGATTCAATTCAATCTCTATTGCTACTTCTAAAATATTATGTAATAATTAATGTCTGAAAAAATAAAACTGAATCATAGAAATATAAACTAAATTATATTAACATTTGTTAGTTTTCAAAATTTGATAAACTAAATATGACAGAGTGACCTTTTTCTTTAGACTCAATAAATTCATGATGTATATAGAGAGAATGAGGGGTCTCATATTTATAGGAACATTTTTTATTCTTAAAGAAACTAAACTTGTTTTAGTTTAAAAAACTATCTTTAAAAATTAATCATCAATAATATAGCATTAAAATTACTAAATCAACAAGCAATATCCAAGCATACAAACTTCAATTTTATAACATGGCCACTTTGAAGCAGGAGATGAAGGGAACTACAAAAAGAGAAAGTACATAAAAGAGAAATAAGAAAGCAAGGAGCAAGGGAGAAAGGAACGTAAGAGAAGAGAGAAGGAAGGAGTAAGAAATAGAAAGATAATAAATAAAAAAATCATTTCTTTTAAATCTAATGTTCACTTATCAAAGTATTCATCATGACCCTTCAGAAAGGACTCATTTATTCCTAAAACAGGGTACTGATTGAAAATTTGATGGACTAACAAAGTGTTGCCATTTTTAGAACCAAGGTTCACACTGTATCTCAAATCCTAGTATCCTTTAAGACAAAAGAAAACAGACTTTTGCCTATGAGAGGAAGGTGTGTCTATATATCTATACACACACACACACACATATTTGAGGAGTATTTATTTATATTTATGTAAATATTTATATTATATATACATATATTTGAGGATGTAAGTATAGTAAGAAAACAGAAAAAGGGTTAAAAATACTTGTTAAAATTTAAAGTCGGCCTTCTTTTCTGACCTGTGCATAAACTAATAATGTGTGTATTAGAAACAAAACTTTATGCAACTCAAAGTAAATTAATTATATTGATGACATGAAAGCTTGGTGCCTTTTCAGAAAAACAATCCCTATTCACAATAAGTAAAATGAAAGCACCAAAATAGACATGTAACTGACAGCACTATGACAGAATCACTCCATTCAGTTAGTTCAGTTGCTCAGTCGTGTCTGACTCTTTGCGACCCCATGGACTGCAGCAGGCCAGGCCTCCGTATCTATCACCAACTAACATTAGAAACAATTGTATTGCTTTTCTTGACTTAAGGTAAGCAGTACACTTGCTTAGCGCATATCTGTCCCTCTTGGACACGAGAGTTCCGAATTCTGCAGAACACTTAATCCAGATAATCAAATGCCTGTTTTTGGTTTTCATAGTGAGAGTTTCTCATAGGTTTTAAGTAAGACAGCTGAGCTCTGATGATCTAATTAAATAGTTAAACATCTTAATTTTTAATCTGACTATATCAATTAGTATGTTATAGTAGAATATATTTAAGCAATATTTACATTTACTTTACCCCAGCTCCTAGACTTAAGACAAAATATTTCACTCACAAAACATTTTTGTTAGTGTTTAAATGACCATGATTATCAATATTGCTTGATGGGAAGTAAAGAGAACAAAGATAATCAGCAAAAACAAAATTTCATTTTATAAATAAATCACGCTTGAAACTTAACACTGAAAAATAAACTTTCATGTAAAAAATGTATTTTTTCTACTTTTACTTCATGTGTTTTGAATCTGATTTTGCATTCATTTCCTTAAAAAAATAAATGTAATAACTATGTAGACCCTATAATTATCTAATGCTATTGGCAAATAGCAAAACCACTCCTCATCAGTTTTTACTTACTAAGCATTGTATAACCTAAGACACTATTTGGTAACTGCAAGTCGTGAAATTCATTGGTCATGAAATCAATTTAGTGGGCTGAGATTAGCATTTAAAAAAAGAAGTAGAAAATAATAGTACACAACAAAAATAATGTTCTTTTCTGAAACTTTTGTTTTAGTAACATTTATGTTCATAAATTTGTGTTTTATCATCCTTTAAAATGTATTTTTAATATAAAATATCATGATAAAGTAAATAAAGATATTATTGCTATAATAACAATATCGGGAAAGAAATGATACACTGTGGGTGTCCTGACTGTATTAACATTTTCTGCATAACAATCAAGGATTTATATATTAATACAACCAATGTTCATACCTGTTTAATGCCTCCACTTTGCACACTTATGATTATGATCATAATTACCGATTTCCAAGCTAGGTTAACTAAGATTTTGTAAAGGAAATAACAATTGTAAAGTCTAAAAATTTTCTGTTAACACACTCTTACCTGTTGGTAATCCTTTTCCTCTCAATCGGTCTCGGATAGCCTGGCTTCGGTCAGGCTTTTGCTCGCTGCTACGGGAAAGCTGATCCGTCTGTACACAGGTAATCAAAAGTCAAGTTTGACAAAAGAATCTCCCTTTTGTTTATGGTAAGTGTCTACAGAATGACACCAGCTAGATAGTTTTTGGAAGCTGTAATATTTGAGTAAAAACACTCCACATATGCTATTGTTAATATATATTCCTTGGATAAGATTTATATAGCTTAGTTCTGGCCAATTCATCTTCAGGAAATACAAGCCAAGAAACATCTATCAAAGCCTAATCTGCTAACCAGGGAACAAAGTTAGCCAAACTAAAGTGGTTAAAATGAGTTCCATTTCAAAGCAATAAACTTGAAGTATTCTTTTTTCCCCAAACTACTTTTATCTCTCAAGTGTGATTAAAATTTTAAAACCACATTAACTCTGGTATAATAAAGCTTTCTCCTGATTGTAACTATGCATTGAGGGTGCTGATTTAAATTATTTTTGAAAATAATTTTCTAGATTTTGCCTGCCAGAAGTTACATTTGAACTACATTTTAAACTAAGTGGATACATTGAGGGATAACAATTAAATTTAAATCAATGCTCTTTTGATACTCTTTTAGAACTAAATGTTTAAGTAGTCTTAAACTTTAATAACTTCAACCGAGGGCACCTGTTTAAAATAAGGCACGTCAAATTAGATCAAATTCCACATTACAAGGGCTGAAATGTTAAGACTACTACAGTTTATTCAGATCATCAATTAGAATAGAAACTTCAAGAAATAAATGTACGAAGAGAGAATGGTAAAGAAAAATTACTTAACTCTGGCACCAAGAGCATGCAGACTTATCTGTTTACACACACACAATACATTTTAATATTTCTCCATGAGTGGAACTTGTTTAAATATGAATTAAAAATCCATTTAAGGTAGTACATTAAAGGCATTGTGCTTCCTACCTATAAGAAGACTTAAATGGAAATATTTTTGAAATGATGGTGTTGTTTCAATTATATATTAGTTCACATTGTACTGTATTATCAGTAACAGAAGAGACAATATCCTGTACCATCTTTGGGTCTTGCATGAACACTGCTATTAATAACAGTTGACACTGACTGAGCAATTACTACAAGGCAGGTACCACCATAAGTGCTCTACACACTTAATGCTATTTAACTATCAAAAAACCTCACGTGGTATATATTATTATTAACTTCACATGACAATAAAGGGAGAAATAGCAAATTTCTAAAGACCTTGAAGCAGCTCATCAATATTGAAATAATTATCTTTACAACTACTAATATGGGTGGATGGTATGCACTACTACTACTATTTTACAGGTAAGTAAAACTGCATTCAAACATGTTATAAGATTAAATCAGTGGGAGAATGCTGACAAGCAAGCTGGCCTACTGACTTTTACTCTAGCCTTCCTCAGCGATCAATGCAAAGAAATAGAGGAAAACAACAGAATGGGAAAGACTAGAGATCACTTCAAGAAAATTAGAGATACCAAGGGAACATTTCATGCAAAGATGGGCTCGATAAAGGACAGCTACTGGGGAGAATGACAGTCTCAGAGGGGCATGCTGGCTAACAGCGTGGGCTCCAGGGTCAGAGAGATCCAGATTCCAATTGTGTCTCTGTCATTGGCCATGTGTGTGGCCACGGCAAGTTATTTCATCTATTTGCGCCTCAGTTTCTTTTCTCTAAAAGGAGGATGAAATTCTCTCTTGTGACTTGGGGCTATTTTGGTGAATAAATGTGAAAAAGCACATAAGTCATGCAGCATAAAACAAACTAAACATTTAAAAGCAGTGGCTGTGAGATTCACTTCTGCCCGGTGACGTCCAGGAGACTCTCAAGGGCAGTGCATGAGGGGGAGTTATTATTTCCACTTTGAAATCTGCCTCTGGAAAGGCGAGTTCTCTGCCTGCTGACTCCAGCTGACCGCTCTACGCTCCTCTCCCACTAAAAGGTCCCACAGCAAATCCTGTGTCAGACTTAGCGCTGTTCCTTGAACCTCCTGCTCTTTCCCATCTCAGGGCATGGGTCCAAGTTTACCTCCCTCTGCCTGGATTACCCTTCCTTTCTATCCAGTCTCTAGGATCTAGTTTACAGCCCTCTTTTTCAACATCGTCATTACTTGTATCCTTTCCCCTCAAACTCTGATAGCTCTTAAATCTCTGACTGATTAATAGAAAACAGAAGTCCCATAAGCTTTGTGAGTCTCAATTTCTTTAAGAAATACATAAAAAAAAAAAAAAAAGAAATACATAGGATGCCCCTGGGCGTCCAACAGATAGGAACCTGTCTGTCAATACAGGAGACATGGGTTCCATTCCTGGTCCGGGCAGATCCCACATGCTGTGGGGCAAGTAAGCCCATGTGCCACAACCACTGAACCTTCGTGCCTAAAGCCCATGCTTTGCAACAAGGGAAGTCACCCCAATGAGAAGCCCCCACAGCGCAACAATAACAAAGAGTTGCCACCTTCTGGCCCCAAGGCCAGAGAAAAGTCCACACAGCAACGAAGACCCAGCACAGCCCAAAACATAAAAATACATCTTCTAAATGTTTTTTAAAAAAACAAAACAAAAATAGAAATAGGTAAATTATAAAGTGAGGAAGGTAGTACAGATTGTTCCTCGGAGTTTTCACAGAACACTGATATTATGAGAAGATCTGTGAAAGAAGGCTCAAATAAGTTTGGGGAAGGTTTCACCTATGTGCCTATCCCTCTTGAGGGTTAGTTAATACAACCTACTGTATTAAAGGCTCTGAGAAGTTCTCCAGTGAATATACATTTACTGTTCCTTAAAGAGTTTTCCCTCAACTCTGAGTATAGAGAAATTTTTTTAAACAAAAATGTATTTCAAAATATGTAGGGAAGTTTGGTCTGAATGGAGTGGGGGTCCCCAGACTCTAGGATCTAATTCCTGATGATCTGAGATGGAGCTGATGCAACAATAATAAAGTGCACAATGAACGCAGTGCACTTGAATCACCCCCAAACCATCACTCTCCCTACTGCCCGAGTCTGTGGAAAAGCCTGTCTTCCACAAAACCTGGTGCCAAAAAGGCCGGGGACCTGTGGAGTTGAGGGTGCGCATAAGTTTTTAGTATCGTTATTAAAAAAAAAAAAATCACACATAGAAATATAAACAAATAAATCAGCCCCAGTTAAGAAGGAGAAATACACAGCCGAGAACCCTCTTCACTTAGTCTCTACTACCTCCATCCCTCTCACTACAGAATCGCAAAGGCTCCTTGGAGTCCAGTTTATAAACCATTTGCCTAGAAGACTTTATGAACCTGTTTCTTATCAACTGGCAAAGCATGTGGAATTTGGATATATCCTGCCAGCCATACAACATCTTGGTTAAGGTTAGCAGAACTAAATCCCTAGGGATGAGAAATTAAGAGGAAGCCAGTGAACACTGTGTGGCAGTGACCAGCCTATCCAAAGTCTACATAAAAGAGAGGAACTCGAGGTTCCATGATTGAAGGGGTAAGAGCAGATAAAGTTCAAATCCAGATCAAATACCAAAAATCAAAAGAAGGCTTCCCTGGTGGCTCAGTGGTAAAGAATCCACCTGCCAATGCAGGGGACATGGGTTTGATCCCTGATCACATGCCGTGGAACAACCAAGTCCCTGAGTCATAACTATTGAAATCCACATGTCCTAGAGCCCGTGCTCAGCAACAAGGGAGGCCATCGCAATGAGAAGTCCGTGCACCACAAGTGGAGAGGAGCTGATGCTTGCCACAACTAGAGAAAAACCTGCACAGCAACAAAGATCCATCACAGCCAAAAATAAATGAATAAATAAATAAAATCATTTTTAAAAGAGAGAGAAAAGAATTTTCTTAAAAAACAACAACAAAGGATGTCCAATCTATGGCAAATAGGATAGAATACAGCTTAAGAAATACAGTAGAGGGATTTTTAGATATACAAACTGTTATTCTTGGGATTCTTCATATCTAAGACAAGCGAGAAAATAAAGGAGTCCCAGTTTTGGACTAATCTAGTAGGAATACAAGCATGTATCTCCCCTCACACACCAGAAGCCAATGTCCAAATATGGTGGGGAGCGTGTAGAAATACTTAAGAGGTCTAGACTAAGTGGGCAAGAAAGAGGTCTAAAGCAACAGAAAATGCATATAAAGGACTTTAAAACCCATGTTGCATGTCCATATGGCTTTCACAGTAGACAGACTCACTTACTGAAAGCTCCATGGGGAAAAAAGTAAGAAAAGAAGCAAGAAGACACTTTTAGCTTTAACATGCTGTGAGTCTATACTACTTGCTAGAATAAAGTTCCAAAAAAAGACTATTAAAAAAGACACACACCCTACTGTTCACTGCAGCACTATTCACAATAAACAGAACATGAAAGCAAATTAGATGTCCACCAACAGATGAGTGGTTAAAGCAGTTGCGGTACATTATACAATGGGATATTACTCTGCCATAAAAAGGAACAAATGTGAATCAGCTGAACTAAGGTGGACGAACCTACACCTTGTTATACAGAGTGGAGTAAGACAGAAAGAGAAAAACAAATACTGTATATTAATATACATATATAGTATCTAGAAAAATGGTACTGATGAAACTGTTTGCAGGGCAGGAATAAAGGCACTGATGTAGAGAAAGGACTTGTGGACACTGGGGGGGAAGGAGCGGGTGTGATCAATTGAGAAAGAGCACTGACGTTATATATACCACCATGTATAAAACAGATAGCTAGTATTATAGTTACATAACACAAGGAACCCAGACTAGTGCTCTGTGATGAACTAGAGAGGTGGGATAGGTTAGCGGGGTGTGTGGGAGGGAGGCTCAAGAGGGAAGGAATAGGTATATATTCCCTCACTATATGTATATATAGTTACGACTGATTTGCATTGTTGTACTACAGAAACAAACACAACATTGTAAAGCAATTATCCTCCAATTAAAAAAATTTTTTAATTATAAAAAATAAAAAAAGACAAATTCTCATAAAATCTAGGTGACTAAATTATTGCACTGGGCTTTTAAGTACTGTTTCAAATAAACAACTAACATTAGAACAAGAAATTCAGTCTCCTGTTCCTAGTCTTCACAGAGAAACGCTATCCATATTTAAAGAAAATCTGGTGAAATGCTACTAAAGTTTAAAGTATGAGTATATGTACCAGTTGGAACTGTGGCTTACCCCAGAAAGATTTCCCAGAACCAGTTTTACCAACTGCTTCACGTAGGAAAATGAAGGTGCACAATTGCTATTCCTAATGTGGGCACTGCAAGCATCCAGGACAGTCCGAACAGAAACCCGAGCATAAATCACATCCTCGCACATTCCAAGTAGTATACTGTTGAGATGATCTCCAAGCTTGATAGGCTGAATACAAAGAAAGAAAAGGTCATGTTGATCAGTGAGGGTAAATTGAACGAATGGGAGACAAACCATTTTCAGAGTCACAGGAACCATACCAAATACACTTCAAATACTTGCAGAAGTGAATTCCTTATGTAGTAGCACAAATGTTTGACTGCATTTTACCTTTTTATAACATAAAAATTGTATTAGTGGAGGATGGTTGACATGCATCTCCTAAGAATATGAGTTATTAGAAAAAAAAAAAACCTGGGTTTTTTTGGCATGCTTAAGAAATGGAATGTTTTGATTAACCAAGAGTTTTGGTAAGCAGTTTATATATATGCATATACATGTATACACACACATAAACGGCTTGTATACATATATATGGGCTTCCCTGGTGGCTCAGATGGTAAAGTGTCTGCCTACAATGTGGGAGACCCGAGTTTGGTCCCTGGATTGGGAAGATCTTCTGGAGAAGGAAATGGCAACCCAATCCAGTACTCTTTCCTGGAAAATTCCATGGACGGAGGAGCCCAGTCCATGGGGTTGCAAAGAGTCAGACACAACTGGGCAACTTCACTTTCAGTTTCACTTCACTTACACATATATATAAACATTTCATTGCATACACATTTCATTTTACACACACACAGAAACACAAGTGTGCTCAGTGGCTCAGCCATGTCTGACTGTGATCCTTTGGACTGTGGCCACCAGGCTCCTCTGTCCATGGGATTTTCCAGGCAAGAATATTGGAGTGGTTGCTGTTTCCTCCTCCAGGGGATCTTTCCCACCCGGTGACCGAAACAGCATCTCCTACCTTAGCAGGCAGATTCTTTACCACTGACCCCCTGGGAAAACCCACAAACACATATACACACACTATTCGGGGAGGAATAAACAATGTCCTAACGTTTCATAAAAAGTAATAATAAATATAATTTTATACTCTCATGATAACTTAGAAGAGATTTCAAATATTGCAAATGACTCAAGGTCATTTTAATTTAAGTTCTCATTTTGCTGGTGAAACAGAAGCTGGAATGTGAAAATTTTATTAAATTAGTTGACATAATTTATAGAATATTATATCTAAATGTCAAAAGATTATACCAAGAAATGCAAAATAAAATCACAAAGATAAGCCACTGCACACTCAGTAGCATGGTTAAAAAATAAAAACACTGAGAATGCGAAGGTGGTGAGGAGAAGAGCATCGCTGACCGGAGTCTGAACTAGCACACCTGCTTTTGTTTCAACGGATGCTTTCCCTGTGATCCTTCCCTTCCACTTCTCATCCATTTGGATATAATACGTCATCCTTTAGAGCTCAGCTTAGCAACAGCTACCTTTAATAAACCTATCCTAGCTCTCCAGGTCTAGTTAGATGCTCCACATCTGCTTTTACATGTGTGTGTGTTAGTCGCTCAGTTGTGTCCGACTCTTTGTGACCCCACGGACTGTAGCCTGCCAGGCTCCTCTGTCCATGGGATTCTCTAGGCAAGAACACTGGAGTGGGTAGTACTCTCCAGTACCCTCTTCTCCAGGGGATCTTCCCAACTCAGGGATGGAATTCCGGTCTCCTGCACGGCAGGCAGTTTCATTTCCCTTAATACAGCATTTATCACATTGCATTGTAACTGGTTAACTGGTTGTCCATACCCATGATAGGACTCCACAGGCATGGGACATTATTTTCCTGGTGTCTGGGACAGTGTCTGTCATAAGGTACGTGCTTAGTAAATACTTTTGAATTAATATTAAATATTTCTCCAAAACAATTAATGATATCTGACAGTAAAATAGAGGTAAAAGTTTATATATATGCTTCCCTTCCAATTTATACATTATAGATGCTGACTTTATTTTCAGTTACCAGAAAAGAGAAAGTGTTAAATTATAGGATATGATCACATTTTACATGTAAGTTAGGTTGAATAAAATATGACACTATTATTTCCAGTAATAATTTAACTTTCTTATTTATATTTATAGAGTTGAAATGAGGAGAGAAAGTAAATATTCAGTATTTTTCATGATGTAAAAATGAAAACCAAAAGAAGTTGAAGACTAGCATTTGTCTTTCATGGACCTTAAGATGTCTGAATTTTAGAATAAAAGCCTAAAATGCTTACTGCTTCTTAGTTTGATTAAAAAAAGACACACCTAGTTATTTTCATTTTGAGTTCTAAATATCTAAAATAAAACAATTCTACATGCCATATCTTTGATGAAATATAGCTATTTAAAAAAATTTTTAATTACATTTACTACTATGTATTATATCTTCAGGAAATCAGTTATTTTAGAAAATAAAGACCAGAAGCAGCCCAATGGTCATCAGAGTCTAAGACCCCAGAAAGTGTTACTTTAATATCTGTGTCTGCTGCTGCAGGGGTAGTGAGGCATGATTTTGAAGTTACAAGAGAAAAAACTAACGAAGTAGAAACTCTGAGATGTAGTTAGAGCTACTACTCTTCCTATAGTTTTTGTATCAGAAAAGGCTATCGCTTTCTGTTCAAGAATGAATCGTCAAAGACATTTACAATTCCCCTTTATCAGTCATTAAATTAGAAGAAATGAAGGGGACTTCTATTTCTCTTGCTATAATTTTGAAGAGGCTACTATATTTCACTGAGTTGTTGAAACACAGGTGTGTATTTGTGCTTAGTCACTCAGCTGTGTCCAACCCCATGGACTGTATGGGCCGGCAAGGCTCCACTGTCCCTGGGGATTCTCCAGGCAAGAAAACTGAAGTGGGTTGCCATACCGTCTTTCAGTGACTTCTATATTTCTAAGCACATTCTCAGAAAAATAATTTCTTTAGTACTTTATTATTTCATTCTGAGAGTAGACATTATTAACGTGAACAACCAGTATAGAAATGCTGGTGTGCCTGACAACACACTGTGGAACACATAAATACACAGAAGAGCTTCTTAAAAAATATAATATTGTACAAATGCCATGACTTGACTTACTTGGCTCTGAGGTACTTCATGATCAGCTCCCCAATACAATGTCATTCCGAGAGAATAAATATGGATCTAGGAATAGAATTTAAAAAAAAATCATTTTATGGTAAAAAGTTAATCTAGCAAGTACTATATATTCATTACTTTTTGCTCCAAAGCAAATGCGACACATGATTTGAGAAAACCGCCATTTCATATTTTGCACAAAAGAATGTGAGAGCTTCCATTACCATATGTAAAACAGATAGTTAGTGGGAATCTGCTGTATGTCTCAGGGAGCTCAAATCTGGTGCTCTGTGACAACCTCTGGGGTGGGATGGGGTGGGAGGTTCAAGAGAGAGGGGACATCTGTATACCTATGGCTGGTTCATGCTAGTGTATGGCAGAAACCAACACAGTGTTGGAAAGCAGTTATCCTCCAATTAAAAATAAAAGCAGACGAATGGATGAGGAAGCTGTGGTACATACACACTATGGAATATTACTCAGCCATTAAAAAGAAATTCATTTGAATCAGTTCTAATGAGGTGGATGAAACTGGAGCCCATTATGCAGAGTGATGTAAGCCAGAAAGATAAACACCAATACTGTATACTAACGCATATATACGGAATTTAAAGAGATGGTGACGATAACCCTATATGCAAAACAGAAAAAGAGACACAGATGTACAGAACAGATTTTTGGACTCTGTGGGAGAAGGCGAGGGTGGGATGTTCAGAGAGAACAGCATTGAAACAAGTATACTATCAAGGGTGAAACAGATCACCAGCCCAGGTTGGATGCATGAGACAAGTGCTCAGGGCTGGTGCACTGGGATGACCCAGAGGGATGGGATGGGGAGGGAGGTGGGAGGTGGGATCGGGATGGGGAACACATGTAAATCCATAGCTGATTCATGTCAATGTATGGCAAAAACCACTACAATACCGTAAAGTAATTAGCCTCCAACTAATAAAAATAAATGGAAAAAAAATTTAAATTAAATATGTATGTGAGAGCTTAAAACAGAAAATAAGACTGGAAATGATCAGAACAGATTTCATTTTCCAACTCCTCAGCCTGTCTGCTATGAATAATCATTTTTATCAGTTCTTTTTTTTTTTTAACTCTAAACTTTTTATTTTGTATCGAGGTTAACCAATTAACATGTTGTGATGGTTTCAGGTGAACAGCTAAGGGACTCAGCCATACATTACATGTATCCATTCTCCCCCCATTTCTTATGTAAAGTTTCTTTAGGCAAACTCAAGAAACTATGAATAAACAGTTTGACTTTCCATTTCTTTTATAAAAGGTCAGAAATTTAAAAAAAATTACTCGAGACTTTGCAGTTTTAATTTAACAAGACAGGTTATGAATATTTAGAGATGGCACTGAATCTCTTTAGCTTTGAATCTTTTAACTCTTTTCACTGCTGCATAGAACTATATTTTATGGTTACTGTATTGTTTACTTAACTGATCTGTCGCTAACCAGCAATTAGAAATTTCCTAAACTTTTGCTATCATAAATAAAGTTTTAGCAATCAGTTTTGGATATGTCATTTTGTACATGCAAGTATTCCTCTTGAATTGACTCTAACATTATGAGCAAATCATCTGTAGTTTTGACACATTTTTGTCTGATTTCCCCCCACAACATTTTATCCTTTTGCATTTCTACAGCAACATATGAGACTTTTCTTCTACAAGCCTTATCCATAGAATGTGTTATGAAGATGTTTGCTGAACTGAAAAGAGAAAAAAAATCTCATTACAGTTTGATTAGCACTTTTCTTACCAAGAATGGGTGGGGTAGTAGCACATGGAGAAAAAAGCTGGGTCAGAAAAGGTTCCTTTTTCATTGTCTGTTTGCTTCTTAAAGATTGGAAAAATGACAACATATTTTTATGCTGGTAGTATGGATAAAAGAGGGAAAACTGGAATTGCAGGAGAGAGGAGACAGCTGGCAGAGTACTGATGAGTAAGCAGGAGGAAGTGGAGGCTAAAGCACAGATGAAGGAGTTGGCTTCACAGGAGCACAGTCAGTTCTTATGAAGCAGGGAAGCAAAGAATATGAAAGTTTATGTGGGTGATCTGGTCATGAGATCTTGGGAGAAGTCTCCTGATTACCTCTACTTTTCTCCCCCTGGTGAAACAGGAAGCAAGATTATGGACCTAAAGAGTGGACAGTTAATCCTTTTTCAGTTCTCCTGTTAAGAGATTCAAAGCTAAACTTTCAGCCAGCTCTCCCAGTACTGAATAATCTTTGCAAACAAAATAAACATTTTGTTTGCAGCCATCTTACTGCAGTGTCATCTCATGTCTTTTTCTTTTTTTTCCATTTTGCTGTCATTTTCTCATCTGTATTTTTTAATTATACAAACTGTCTCAAACCTCTTTAGATATACGTGAGATAAATCCATATAAAACTGGATATCCTTAGAATTTCACAGCATTTAAATTACAGATTAGAAAAAGTTTGTTCCTCTTTTTAAATATTTTCATGGCTCCCAAATTTTCAAAATTCCGAATTCTTTATGATACACAAGGCTCACTCTGACTTGCCTACATCTCCATTTTCCAAACAGATTTTTCCGTCTTCCTTCACTCCTTTCTCTATCACACCTAAACACTTCAGAACTAAAAGATAATTCTCTGCTGGCAAACCATTCTTTCTCTTTACCAGCTTTTTTTGAACAGTTCCCCCTACCAAGAATTTCTTTTTTCATCTGTCAATAAGAGTTCTACCCATTATTGATAGCCCAGAGATGGTGTTATCTATTACGAATGCTATATAAGTCTTTTCCAGTGGTATAAAGCATTCTCTCTTATATGATACAGTTTTCATTTCATTTGCATCTCTAATGAAACAGTTAACTAATACTACCTACAACATAGTTAGGATGTTTGCTTGTTTGTCTTACTTGAGGGAGCCTCATTTTTTATATATCTTAATATCTCCCTTAGCAACTGACACAGCTTGGACACAGTAGATATTCAATACATGTCGGGTGAATTCAATTAAATGTGCATGAAGTTCAAGGCAACATGTTGCAGACTATTTGTATCACATTTCTATTTAGAATTCAAGGAACCTCATATGGGAACATCTTTTCAAAGAGCCTCATATGTGAAAAACATTTTTCATACCTTTAGCAGAAATGACTAATTGCATACTCAAATATATGTCTCTTAATATATTAATTTTGATTTGTGGTTCTTTGAGATGCTGGTAGTACTGTATGATCCTTTATTATATTTACTTGTCAGTATGCAAATTGAGTTACTTATTCTAATAACTTATATAAAACTATATAAGATTAATGACATTAAAAAATAGATTATAAACTTAATACATTTGCTGATCATCTGTATAGTATTGGTTAATTTTATGTGTCAATTTGACTGGATGCCTAGATATTTGGGCAAACCCTATACTGGGTATTTCTGGGAGAGTGTTTTGGATGAAAGTGACATTTAAATTGGTAAAGTGGGCAAGACAGATTGGTCTCTTCAATAGGGGTTGTCCTCATTCAATCATTGGAAGGCCTGTATAGAACAAAATGGTTTACCCACCCCCAGGTAAGAAAGAATTCTTTCTGCCTGACTGCCTTAAAACTAGGACATCAGCTTTTTATTGCCTTTGGACTTGATCCAAAATATCAGCTCTTCCTGGGCCCCGAGCCTTCTGGCCTTCAGAGTAGAACTACCCCCTGGTTCTCCTGGTTCTCAGACCAGAACTACAACGTTGCTCTCCTGGTTTCCAGCCTGCCAGCTCATCTTACAGATCCTGGGACTTGTCAGTATCCATAATCACATGAGCTAGTAAGTCTCTCTTCACAGACACACACACAGCCCCGACTGATCTGGTTTCTCTGGAGACTCTTGCTTAATAAATATCTAAATATGAGATATATATACATAGAGAGAGAGAGAAAACATGCAAAAATGGTTAATTGCTATTTTATTAGGATAGTGCATTATGGGTTTGAAACTTCTAGTATTTTTTAAATCAGTTAAAATTGTTATAAATAACTCCAGGTACATCAGATCTTGTTAAAATAATGTATAATATTTGGTATCTAATATTGGAGAAATATTACTAGTATTGCAGGGAAAGTTCTTACATAATACAAACAAAAATGTATCACTTTTACATTTATTCCAAATGTCTATAGGATAAAAGTGGATAATATTTCCATATATATTATTCATAAGCCTTGAGTTTCTACTGCTTATACAACCAGAAATGACACAAGCAGAAAGACCAGTGATACCAAGGTGTAATTAAATTAATATAATAACACAGCCATATTGCTAAGAGCACTTAGTTCACTTGGTTGATAAATAGCAATAAATAAGTTCTAGTTTAGTTACAGTCATTGAATAGAAGGGAGAAGGTCATAGAAGGAATGATTATTAAAAGGTATTTGGCCTTCATAATTGTCTCTGGTTTTTACTTTAGCAGAAAAAAAAGAATATGATAGCCTACAGAGTCCAATTAACATATACCTTCTATTAAAGATCAGCAAGTCCAGTGACTAAAAGAGGTCAGGAATTAAAAGTCTAAAAAACCCCCACCAAAACAGATTTTGATCTGTCTCTTATTTCTACTGCATATTTATTTAGCTTCCAAGGGAATTTTTGGTTTTCTGATCTTTGCTTAGGCCCTATTTGTATCCAAGATCTTGGTATCTATCTGTTTCTTGTGGATAATGCAGAGAACATCTATTCCCCTCCCTTAGTACAACAGCAAGCCAGGATTTTCTTATAGAAGTGGGTGCTTTTGATCATGATGTTTCACACACAAGGTTCCACGAAAAGATAAAGGAACTGGTTCTAGAAGATAGCATTTATAGAAGAGCTAATTAACTATCCATTTGGTCATTCAACATTTTTTCTGAAAGTCACTAAGCTAGGGATTGTGGAAAGATACAAGTATCTCATCCCGGTATCAGTAATACTACTACCATATACTAATATATAAGAATACTAATAGGCAGGTACGTCCTTTTCATTATAGGGGACTGGAATGCAAAAGTAGGAAGTCAAGAAACACCTGGAGTAACAAGCAAATTTGGCCTTGGA